TATGAGATATGAATTTTACTAGCAAGTTGTCAAAAAAATCCTTAAATTGCTTGGAAAATCCCAATTTTCAAAAAGTTTTTTTCAAGAGACATTTTTGCAGTTATGCAATTATGTTGTTATACCAATAACGGCGATTTTATTATATACTTTACGCAATTAATGAATTAGATTTTTTTATGTTATTTTTCTATTAGTTTTAAATAATAATTAATTTTCAATAACTTTTAGAATTATTATTAAACTTTAATTTGGCAAACTTTATTTAGAGGATAGGATTTTTTCATCTTTATATTGGCAATTTTAATTTTATGAGCATTTGGGAATACCGTGTTTGACGAGGCACCACAGGGCTAGTTTACACCCTGTGTATATATATATATATATATATATATATATATATATATATATATATATATATATATATATACATATATATATATATATATATATATATATATATATATATATATATATATATATATATATATATATATATATATATATATATATAGATTTTACAAAAAATCAAGCACTTATGGGGACATTAGCATTATCAGGGACATTTTAGTGTACTCGTTTATTTTTTGTCCTCGTAAGCATTATTTTTTTTGTAAAAAAATGTACCCATAAGAAACCTTTGTAGAGAGTGAAAAGTACATACATCGACTATCAAATAGTCTGACTTGCAAGGGAGTGCTGCTACATCAACTAAGGGTTAACTAATACATCAACTAAGGTAACTAATACATCAACTAAGGGTTTGATTTGGCCAGTCATCAAGGTCAGGCTTAGGGTTAGGGTTATGGCAAGGTTTAAATTTGATTATATTATTGTAATTAGTTGTTTTTGTAAATATATGAAGTTAAAAATGAAATATAATATAAAATAAATAAATAAAAATAACAAAAATTAATATAAAAAATATATTTTTATAATAAAATAATAAATTTAAATATGTATAAATAAAAATAGAAAACAAAAATTAAAAAATATATATAAATATGATAAAAATAGTATGAAAAAGTAAAAAAAACAAATTGAACGGGAACAAAATAAACATGTCATCGAAAGTCGCGACTAGAATGATATAAATGTATATATATATACATTTATATATATATATATATATATATATATATATATATATATATATATATATATATATATATATATATATATATATATATATATATATATATATATATATATATATATATATATATATATATATATATATATATGTATATATATATATATTTGTTTATTTATTTATTTATTTATATATTTATTTATTAATATATAGATATATATATATATATATATATATATATATACATATACATATATTTACAAGTATGTACAGGCCTTGGTAGGAGTATATGAGTGCAGGAGCAGTAAAATGCCTGACTAAAACAGACTTTGCAGACAACGGGAACCACCTGCTTTTATAGTGTTTGTATTTTTTTAAGGGGTTTTTTAATAAAAAAGTTCACGGAGTAGAATAAAATGATTATGATAATTTATTATGATTTAGTATTAGTTTTGTTTACACTGCAAGCTTTTTATCATATTATAAATACATTAAAGAAACAATTTTCAGCAACTTTTTTTTTTTATTTATTCAAGCATCAGAATGTTTTCTAGAATAATTGTTAAAAAGAATGTTTCATTTGACTAAGTCATTTTTCTTATGTCTTTGACCATATGATACTGAGAACCAATTTTCTTTTTATTTGCATTTAATATTTAGTCAGGTAATTTTTAGCCTGAAAATTTAAGTTTCATCATAAATATTTTGTTTATTCGAAGTAATGAAAAATGCTTTGCTACTACTCAATAAAATAAAATTTAAAAAGATTCCTGAGCCTTAGTTAACCTAGTTACATCAATAATATATTAAAGTTACATCAAAAATGAAAATTTCATGGTATATTAAGTCTATATGCGTAATAAGACATTAAAATATTGATAACAGCATTTTCTGCATATTTTTCTAAAATAAATTGTTTACTCGTGATAAAAAGTTAAAATACTTATTACAAAATTTTCATCAGATCTTTCTTTGATTAGCACACAGGCATCAGCTCTCTATGAGCCATTGTAGCCCTTATAAACCTGTCTTTTCTCTTGGCACCACACACCAACATTGAAGCCCTGGTGACCTCTTTTACAATGCGTTCAATAGATTGACCGTGAATAGGGAAGTTTGGTACAATTATTGGATTATTAATAAACTGTATAATATCATCTTTCATCAAACAACAAGTAAAAACCGGTTTACTGATATCCTGTTTCCCAATTGATTAAATCTATTAGATTATTTAATTCAGTGTTTATCACTGGTGTTCTTTTATTTCTGCAATTTCCTTTTTTTTTCTAACAGTTATTTTTTGCATTGCAAATCTCTTTTCTCCTTCATCTGAACTACAGAGCATTGTCTCAAGAATACATTCACTGTGTACATTCCAGGCAGAGAAGCAGACAAGCGGTAATACAACATCCCTAACAAGCGTGTTCTGTTTCTTTACCAAGGCTAGTTGTTTAAGGATATGATGTGGACCTTGAATCCAGCTATGTTTAGTCTAAAGTCAATTACTTTTCTTTAGCATAATCACAATTGTTTTACAATTAATTTTAAAAACTATTAAAGTAAATTATAGTATTTAAGTAAATTATTGTATTATATCTTTATTTACATAACTAGGTTTATTACCTTAAGATCAAACCACATAATAGAATAAACACCCATGATGAACTCTGTTAACAGTTTCAAGTTTTGTAGATCTTTGTTTTCTAAACCATGCTCAGAGCGCCAGATTCAAAGTAGTCTATATGCAAGATTTAATCATCTTGAATGATTGTGTGGACCAATTTGAATCTCCTTTAAATCATCAGGAAAAACACTGATGCTATTGCATTATATATTTTGTATAAATACTTCTGATTTGTAGACAGTGAATCTACAATTTCCTTCTCGAGTTGAATTAGGTCTACAACAAAATCAGGCTGAGGAATGTCAAAATAGGAAGATTTGTTGCTATGTTAATAAGTTTTCCAATATTTCCTGAGAATCTATTTTTTTTATAAAGTTTTTCCATCTAAAGCTAACATTAAATGCCTAAGTGGCAATTCGTTGGTATATAGCGCACAAATAATCCAGATAAGTTTGAATCCTAGTTTTTCTTTAAAAATTTAATAACTCCACCCTTCCAACCTATAATAATTTTTTTATTTTCAGTAAAAAAAAAGAAACATAAAATTTTAAACAACCATTTAAAGAAATAAAAATAAAACCTGTGTTAAGGTTGATTGAATCTCCTTTAATTGTAACTAATTGGTTTTAAACGTCATGTGCTGTTATCCAATCATATAGTTGTTCAGCAATATGCTCAGCAGGTGTTCGAGCTTCTCTCTCCTCTGAATTATTTACAAAGTGGAATAAATATTTTCCAACAGGTTCAGAACAGACACTATAATGATCTTCTTTGATCTCCCTAGGGTAAAATTTACCATCATTGCCATATACAACTATTTTTGTAAAGTCTTTTCTACCATCTTACATTAAACATTGTATGCCCTCTTTAGTTCATTGTTATGTTTCTCTTTACATACCTTCATTACTCTTTGCTTTGATCTCTCAATTTTTATAAGATCTAGAGCTAGGTGTTTATCAAGTATATGATTTTTCAAAAAACCTGCATCTTTGGCTGCTTTAATGTTGCAGTTGCTGTTACTTGTACCAAATCGTAATGCTGACAAAGCAATATGATTTACATATAAGGTATTTAGCTGAGAATTTTTTTTTATTTCTGGTCAATAAACATTGTCATTATAATCATTCTCAGCATTGTCTGACTCCACATCATTTTGAGATAATACATCATAATACTGTACAGTCTCGATCCTAACTCTCTTTGATTTGTTCTGCTTTTTTTGATAATATTTTTTTCGTCTGGAAATTTTTTTCTATCAACTGAACCTATTTATATTCCACTTTTAGAACCAACTTTATCTCTCTGTAACTTTAAAAAGTTTAAGTTCAATAATAGGAGTTTTATTTTCTTGAAGACATTCGCAAAAAATATGAAAAGCTTAGTTGCAATTATAACAATCAGATTCTTTACATAATTTTATTGAACATTTACACTTAGCTATTTCAAACAGTTTTTCTATGATTAATTTATGATCAGAAAGTTGCTTAGATGTTCCCCTACCTAACGCCATATTATATGCTTTTTTTCCAGTCATATATGATTCATTCTTTTCCTCTTTTATAAGAAATAATTGGTATAAGTGGATTAGCTTTTTGCCATAAATATTTTACTGAGGTCCACAATTTTTCAGAAGTTAGCCTTAAATTTTGGTTATTTTTCGAATAATTTTGAATACATTAAATAAAAAGAGAATTGGTTCTCAGTATCATACGGTCAAAGACATTAGAAAAATGCCCAGCCAATTTTAAATTTAAAAATTTTTCAAAAGTGACCCACTCTATTAGTTATGTCTGATGTATTTACTTATGATGAATTAAAGTTCTAGAATCTTAGTTATTAATAATATTCATACTGACTTGTGTTTTTATTTGTATTTTGATAAATTTTTGTTTTTATATTTTTATGTGTTAACATTTTTGATTTTGTTATTTTTTATTTATTTTATAATATTTACTTCTACATCATTAGATCACCTTCTTACAAAGCAACATTAAACATTGATTTGACAACTTTTTTTTTTGAACTTCTTGTTCCTACTGGATTTTATATCCAGTTTTTCACATTTAAAGTATATTCTTGTGTTCTATCTAGATTTTTATATTTTCACTGCATCATTAAGCATTCTCAGCATATTATGATCCACCATATTGAGGTTTAAAAATAGGTCATATTAGCTTTGCCATTTAGTTATATTTTATGTGATTTAATTTATTCACTCATATGTTTAACATGATAAAAGTCAAGTAGATTGCAATATTTATCTAACATGAATTTTTTGTGTTTTAGGCAACAATGAAATTTTTTCAGTTGATAAGTTTGAAGGTTATCAAGTTAGTAATGATCAAAACAATACTAATCATTATTTAAATGGTGAACTGATTGCTGGTCAAAGATATACATTGTTTCAAAGAATTATTCTAGATGATGTAATTTTTAAATTTTTAAATATTTGTATGAGTAGAGTGAAAACCTTCTTTTTTCTTTTTTTTGTAAACTAATAGCTGAGTAAACACTATGTTTTAAGGTGCCATTCCTAAATGCTGCAGTTTTAAATATAATGAGTTACAACTTTTAATCTAATAAGTAAATTATTGTACTCTCTTAGTATTATAATTGCCAAATAATAATGCAAGAAAAACCAAATAAATTTTTTAATTTTTTTCATTAACATTGTTTAAGGGTCGTATATACACAAGTCCATGGCAACCTGAGTTTATTGGTAATTATTATTTTTTGTGTTGATAACCTGTTAATTTACGTGTTGCTACTTTAATTAAAGAAAAGTATTGTTCAACCTATTAATACTTACAATTACTTTCACAGTTAATTACTATTTGCTTATAACTAAATTCAAAGAGCTTAGTTAATGTAATACATGTAAATATGTAAGGAGAATTTCATATGAGCATAAATATAATATTTATACTTAAAGAAACAGGATTGGGAACTGCAGATTCAAGAAAATTTATTATTACCTCAATAAATTTATTTATTAAAAATGTATACACTAAAAAGTAAAGGTAGAAGTTTCTACTAAATGGCAGGAACTGTAAAAATAATATAATTTTGTAATACTGTGAATTACTAGGTTATATTTTCAAAAAAAGAATCAATATTTAAAAATTTTATTAGAATTTTAAACCAAAAATGAAAAGCAAGTCTAAAATGTATATTCTACTTAAAACCAAATTTAAAATTTTGGCTTCAATCAGACCCATAAACAGAGTTTCAGTCAATCATTTATTAATAGAGTTAAATTTGTTTTCAAATCATGACATCAGTGTTTATTAAATAAATATTTTCACCAAATTTTCTACCTTATGTTTTGTTACCTTTTGTTACCTTTATCTTATGATATATATAAATTTTAATTTTTTTTTAGCTTATTCTAAGTTTACTCCATTAATTAAAAAATCATCAACACACTTATATCTTTTTGGATTAATGGTGATACCTGTTTTAATTGTCGGTTTGATCACATTTTTAAAAACGTAAGTTTTAATTACATAACAAAAAATAGCCTTAAAAGATACAAAACATATGTGTTATTTAAAAAATACAAAATATATGTATTATTTATATATTATTTTATTTGTATACTAATACTACAAAATATATGAAGTATTGAAATAAAAAAACCATTTAAAAAAATGTGTTTATGTATGCTAAAAGGTTTTAGAAAAATTATATTTAAATTTTAAACTTTTTTGTTTGTTGTTACTATTGTATGGTTAAGTAAGACTGTGTATACCCAATCTATCTAACAACTAATATGAAAGAAACTTCTTTTTAGTATTTACTTTAAATGATAAGGAGTAATAACTTTTAAGATTGACCAGTAGTTGTTTAAATTTTTTAACTAATATGGCATTGACAACATTATCTGATCAAGTGTTTTAGTCATTAACTAAACAGTTAAAAAGCTTATGTCTAACTTGCAAAGAAATTTAGTTTGATATTTAGTACTGTGTGCTATACTACAAGTGTGTGCCAGTTAATTGAGTTTAGTATGTTGACAGGCTGTTGTATAAAATTAAGATAAGTCTGAAGTTAGATTATTTGCATTAGGTCTTTTTTTTTAAAGGTTGAGAAGCTTTTGCAGCATTGTGTTGAACATTTTCAAAAAAAAAAATTTCCAATAACAAGACAAGGAAACCAAGCTTTTATAAGAAACTCTAAATTTTGTTTAATAAATGTTGTATGTCTTTTTTCAAATTTCAATTTCTCATGATACAAACAAGTACTTGAGAATATTGAACATTTATTTTGCTTTGTTTACTGCAATGTTGTGCTGTTAAAGGTATTTTAGATGATGTTAGTTATGCGGCTTTCTCTTTCTTTTATTTTTTTTTGAGAAACATGTTTTTTAAGGTTTCTGAAGTTTTAAAGTAGTTTATGATATTGTATGACATATTTAAGATGTTCCGATGTTTCAATGTTCCATTCGACCATTGTCCTTATTGGATGATGATGTGACCTTTTCAATAGCTGTGGAACCTCATCTCTTGTCTATAGTGTAACATCGCTAACTCAAATTATATTTGTCCTATGTTATAATACTGAAATTATTAGAACATGTTTAAGAAACACTTTGCTTTGTTTTTTTTATAGGAGAAATAAATTTAATAAAGATGACTTGATGAAGTTTAAAGTAATTCATAATAGAAATAATGAAGATACAATGCAATATCAGGGTAAAATTTATTGTTGTACCTTGGTTGCATTACAGTTTTTTTCCTGTTTTACAGGGTTATTCATTCTTATATGCGCGTTTATTCATTTTTATATGCGCCTTTATTCATTCTTATATGCGCATTTATTCATTTTTATATGCGCCTTTATTCATTTTTATATGCGCCTTTATTCATTCTTATATGCGTTTTACAAAAGCAATTGTAAAAAAGCAATTTGAAAAAAAAAAAATCATTCAAGAAATTTGTTTTGAAAAAGTAGTTTATTTTTTCAAAACAAACTTTTCTTATTTCCAGGTAAACGAGGTTAAAAATACTTAAAACGAAGACTTTTTAAATTCGACGATGGTTTATTTAATTTAGTATTAGTTCTTTGTAATTTTATTATTAAATTTCTTGATTGATTAAGTTATTATTTATCTAATTATTCATTTATCTCGATTTAAATTTACTTATTTATAATTATTATTAATATCAAATTATACATCCCTATGTTTGTATATGTGTCAACCACCCATAAAATCTCTAATATAATTTAATATAAACGATAAATACGCTTTTAAATTTTTATATAGACATATTTAAAATATAAATTAGGTTGTTTTCATTGTTATTTATTTAAGAAATGGTTGCCGAGCCAGCGCTTGATTTATATAACTATGCATATGGTTGTAAAATGGAACTATATTAAACTCTGTAGTATCCATAATATTTTTAAGTTTCCTGATTACCTCATCCGTATTTCAAGGCCTTTCTCCCTGTTTGTAAGTATGTTTTAAAGAAGAAAAAAATTCTTCTATTGGATTAAGCTGTGGCGTGTAAGCTGGCAGATACTTAATAGCTATACCATGAGAGGCTAGTGTTTGCCTAACAGAAAGACTCCAGTGGAATTTACAATTGTCCAAAACAAGCACCAGTGGAATTTACAATTGTCCACAACAAGCACAAATGCGCATATAAGAATGAATAAATGCGCATATAAGAATGAATAAAGGCGCATATAAAAATGAATAAATGCGCAAATAAAAATGAATAAAGGCGCATATAAAAATGAATAAATGCGCATATAAGAATGAATAAAGGCGCATATAAAAATGAATAAATGCGCATATAAGAATGAATAAAGGCGCATATAAAAATGAATAGACGCGCATATAAGAATGAATAACCCTGTAATAACTAAAGAAAAACACTAGAGTTTTATTTTAGTATTTTTTTTTTTTTTTTTTTTGTAGAGTTGTCTTTAAAATACGATAATTCTTACAGTACCCTACAAACTATTCAGAAATGGCCACCACTGTCTGTTAATGAATTTGCTGCTTATTACTTGATTGTAAAAAAAAATGATTACAAAGATCTTGTGAAACAATATGAAAGTGTTTCTAAAAATAAAATATATCCACATACTGAAGCTAAAAAGTATCCACATAAAAATAGATATGCAAATATTGTCCCATATGATCATTCACTTGTCAAATTAGTTCCTGATTTCACTATTTATGAAAATACTTATATCAATGCAAATTACATACATTCGTACTTCAAAAAAGTATCTTACATTGCAACCCAGGCTCCTAATAATGAAACTATTGTTGACTTTTGGCGAATGATTTTTCATGAAAAGCCTAAAGCTGTGATTATGCTTACTAATCTAGTTGAAAATGATAAAATAAAATCTGCTCAATATTGGCCAGAAAATTATAAAGAATATGGTGGCCTTAATGTTTGTGTTATAAAAACAGAACACTTTGCTGATTATATTATTCGCTACATTTCTTTAAATTTCAAAGAAGTTAATCATCATTTTATTCATATGCAGTTTACATCTTGGCTTGATAATGGATGTCCTGAATACCCAACAATGTTACTAAACTTTTGCCATCGATTTCGATGTTTAGTTCCATATTCAGATAAATCTCTCACTGTTGTGCACTGCAGTGGTGGAGTTGGTCGCACAGGTGTTTTCATTTTACTTGATGAAATGTTGCAGTTAATCAAATCAGAACAAAAAGTTGATATTTTTAATTATTTTGAAACTATTCGTCAAAACAGAATGCAAATGGTTCAATCAAAAGAGCAATACATATTTGTTTATGATGCAATTTATGAAGTAGTAACATGCGGTCAAACTAGTATTTCAATTTCAAATTTTCCAACAATTGTTAACAATCTGCTTAAAAAAGACATTTCATCTGGAAAGAAACTCATAGAGAATGAATTTAAAATGCTTCAAAGTTTTTCTGTAGTTCAAGGCAGCAATCAGATAGCAATGAAGAATAAAAATTTACAAAAAAAAAAATACCCTCAAATTATACCTGGTAAGTGATTTTTTTTTGGTTTGTTTATTTCTTTGATTTTTACATAGTTACTAATAAAATAAAACATGTCTAGTAAACATCAGCCCTGTTTTGATATACTAAACTTTATGGGTTACATGATTTTACTCTTTATAGTATTTTAAATGACTCTTTTTTTCATATTTGATTTCATTAGTTTGTCTTAGCAAATTAATTGGAAGTTTACAAAAATTTTTAAATATTGCCTCCTTAAATGATTTGAATTCATATATTCACTTGCTGTGTAGCCAATGTAATCTTAAAATATTAGTTTATATTCTTTAGGTCTTAACCACTTTTTTTAATAACATGTATTATATATATGTATATATATATATATATATATATATATATATATATATATATATATATATATATATATATATATATATATATATATATATATATATATACACACACACATATATGTATGTATATATATATATATATATATATATATATATATATATATATATATATATATATATATATATATATATATATATATATATATATGTGACTTTTTAACACAGCTTTTTAACACAGCTTCAATACGATGCGGCATTAAATGAATAAGAGAAAGACAATACAATCTGCAATCAATATAATCTGCAGTAATTTATGTTGTCCATGCTTGCTTGATTTTGTCCAGAAGGTCAGCTTGTGATATGGGGTTTTTCTCTGAAACTTTCTTTTTCATAGTATATCATATGTTCTCGCTCAGGTTCAAGTCTGGAGAGTTGCTCGGCCATGGACCCAAAATCTCAAAATCAGACTTAGTGAGACAATTTTTTACAGCTTTTTTGCCATGAAATGGAGCACCATCATGCTAAAATACATTTGTACTATGTATTGCCATAAAATTTGGTAATTTTTTCTTAAGAATGTTTAAGTGAACATTGCCATTAATAGTAGATCCATCCAGCATGCCCCATAAACCTGCACAACCAAATGCTGTTATAGCTCCCCACACCATCAGTTTCTTTGGTTGTTTTACTGTTGGCAAGACATACTTGTTGTTATATCTCGTTAGAGGTGGGTGCCAAATTCTAGGAGCATAAGCAAGCAAAGGTTGACTCGTTGCTGAACATGACGCGTTCCCAATCAGCTTCATGCCAGTGTTTGTACCTGTTACAAAACTTTAACCAATCTTTAATATTCTTTGCTGATAATTTTGGTTTTTTAGCTTTTCAATTCATGTGCAAATAACCTTAGATGAATAGTTTTAGTACTTATATTTTTGCAACTTTCCAGGAGCCTACTTCTAATTGCCGCTGATGTTATGTGTGGAGAGTTTATCATAATCCTTTGAATATGTCTATCATTGTATGGTGTCGTTTTTTTTTTTCTGCTACTTCGGCGTTGTGATAAGTATGTGTTAGTTTCCTTAATCCTCTTGTGTATTTTGTATGCAGATCCCGCTGATATTTTTAAAATTTTTCCAATTTCTCAAAAACTCTTCTGTTGCAATCTCAATATTTCTACCTGGGCTCTTTTAGTAGCTGATAGTTCAGGTGTTCGACCCATCCAGTCACAACTACAAAAATCAAAATATATACAAATTATGTATTACACTAGTAACATGATAAAGTACTTATATAGTTTTGATTTACACTAGACATATTGAAAGATTATGCTTGTATATCAATTCTACTATTATACCTGTATTTCACACCTGTACATGTACAGTATAGGTAAAAACTAATAATATATTGTTCAATAATGCAAAAAACAACATTTGACAATTGCATTCATTCTCTATTATCATTCATACTACTTATTTGATAGATTTATTTGTAAATATCATGGAAATTATAACAAATTCAAGTAAGACGCAAACTCATTGAAGCAACATGGCAGCATAGCAACAGATTTATTATGCTAAAATACCAAAGTAATTTTAATTAAACATCTTAAATCAGAAAAATATGCACCGTTTCCAAACTTTTGTCCAAAACTATATATATATATATATATATATATATATATATATATATATATATATATATATATATATATATATATATATATATATATATATATATATATATATGTATACACACACACACACACATAGGGTGTTAGCCTGGTAAAAGTTTTAAACAACATTTTCATGATATTGGGAATTTAGAATTGGATATTAAAAAAAATAAAGAAGTCATCGCATTCTGACATATAAAGGCAAACCATGGTGGTTCCCCAACTTAATTTATACATGCAAGTTAAGTTATAATGCATAGATATCTTTGAACTGATTTATTTTTTTGGTGGGTTATAGTCATAGCAGGAATATTTTTATGTTTTATAAATTTTAAATTATAATTATTTAACTTGTTTTATTCTGAGCAATCTTTTGTTTTTTCATATTATTGTTTCATATTGTTTATTCATATTCATATATTTAATAAATTTCTTTTCATCTTTGTGCGATATACTAGAGAGAGAAATGAAAAAAAGACAATTGTTTGCACATAGATTTGAATGAATGAATTTGATACTTATATCTATTTTGATTGTGGACATTGCTTTTAAATACAGTTTTAAAAAATTTAAACAATTATTCACATATATTTTCTTCTTTTATATTTATTTTTATTTTTAAAATTATAAATGTAAAAAAAAATATGCCTAATAGTATTAAATTTTAAACGGAACTTTTTTGGTGGTTTTCACGGATCCCTTTAATATTTTTAAACAGCCGAAACGACTTTTTGATTGATACTGTCTATAAAAACTCTATATATTGAATGGAAAGTTTTTGAATATTTAAGTTTTTAAATACTTTAGTATTTTAAAACTAAAGGTTTTAAAATATATTAAAAAACTTTTTTACATAGATATTCAAATTTTTGTTCATCTAATTTTAAATTATAACTTTTATCATTAAATAATTTTTTATGTGTAAATTTTAAATGAATTTATAGTGATTTAAAATTGCATTAAAAAAAGATATTCAAGGCAAACAGATAATGCAGCAGATGTATTTACTGGTAGTTTATTAATTTTTTATTTAAATTCAAGTTTTTTTACTTTTATTTAAATATGTTTTTATGAGTTTTGGAAAGCTTGTAGCAAGTTGATTGGCTGTGTTCTTTACAGGATAGTTTAAACTTTTTTTTACATTTTTTATTCTTAGATTTTACTATAGAAAAATCAAAGTTTTTTAAAGATCTTGCTAAAAGATTGAAAAAATTTCTGGTTCTATTTCAAACAGGCATATCTATGGTGGCATTTTTATTGAACACAAAAAATATTTTGCGAAATTTTATAAAAATGATTCTCAAACCAAACATTTTAAAAGAATGCAACAGCATTTAGTTTAACAAAGATTGGAGTAGAGAAATAAATAACCAACTAAAAGTAGACTATATTGACATAGGAACAGCACTCAAACAGGCGCTAAGTTCTCTTTATTGTAAACCAGAATAGAAATTAGAATTTAAGAAAGAATATAGACAGATTATCATAATTTCATTGAAAAAATTACAGTGAAAATGTCCATTGAAGTATTATTTAGTGAGGAATTCTTCAACTTTTCCTTCAAATAAAATGGTTCAAAACAAGGAAGTATCCACTGAAATTCAAGGGTCTGAGAGATTAGGAGCATTAAATTGGTCTTCAACTGACAATGATGATGATGATGATGATGATGATGATGATGATGATGATGATGATGATGATGATGATGATGATGATGATGATGATGATGATGATGATGATGATGATGATGATGATGATGATGATGATGATGATGATGATGATGATGATGATGATGATGATGATGATGATGATGCAAAACTACAGTATTATGAATTTGTTGGTGCAGAATGTGCTCGATTTAGAGAAAATTTGAGTCCTTTAATGAATTAACTGATTCTGTTAATAAATTTCTTGGTATCTATTTGCATAAAACTCAAAAGTATTCAGCATTGTGGAAAGTCTGTGCTATCATTTTTGTTTTATCTCACGGCCAATGTGCAAAAGGTAGACAAAGTAAGCATGAAATGTAAATTGATTGATGAAGAAATTGTAATTATAAAGAAGCAGAAAGAAAAAAAAACATCAAAGTTTTTAAAACTTATGCTAACAAGTTTAGCATTGAAGCAGAAGAAAAGCAAAACTTCACTATTCTTATGAAAAAAAACTAGAAATACAATTTTAGAAAAAAAACTGACAATTAAAGAGCTTGATATTTCACTAAAAAAACATAAGCAATCTAAGAAAGAGATTAAATGAAAGTGTTTGATAACTAGAAATAAATGGAAGTGTTTGATAACCTAATGTGTCTATATATGTTAAAATATGTATTAGTTTTCTCTATTTTAGACTTTTCAGTATCTTTAAAATTAACATTTTTATTTATTCATATTATTCAAAAACTGTTTATGTTTTTACTGTTTATCTTAAGTTAGAAAAGTTACAAAAACTTTGCATTTTAATATATAATATACATTAAAATAAGATTTTAACATATTTATATTTAAAAATGTTTTTTGGAATTTGAACAACTTAAAAAAACAATAAAAAGTCAAAAATGAAACTTGCAATAAAATGCTTTATTTATGTTATATTTGGGTAAAACATAAAAGAAGATAATTAAATATATATAAATTTTTCACGTATATTTAATTATCTTTAAAACAATATTTATAAATCAGGGTGGCAAAAAATAAAATACTTGACACTGGAATAGATCTAGACATGATAATTTTGTCAATGAAATAGCAATATTTATAGAGTTTCATTTGTCATTTGAATTTTTTATATTTAATCAGGGTGCCAAAAGCTATTTAAATTTCCATAACATTTTCAGGACTTTTCATGGGTAATTTAGGATTTTTCAAGGATATATTGAAAAATCCTAAATTACCAGAAAAAACATGTTTTATATGTTATACATATGTGTATATATATATATATATATATATATATATATATATGTATATATATATATATATATACATATATATATATATGTATAT